GTCTTTTGTTTATCTGATTTTCATGATTCCATACTTTTTTCCTCAGAATTGAGTGATTCTGTATTTTTTTTTTCCCTGTGCTTGGTCAATTAAAGTAACATTCACTGACTTCCACAGTTTTCTCTTCATTTCTTTGAGTGTTTCTGAAAGCCAACAAGTTGCACTTTGGAATGACCTTATTATTGTATCATGTTTTTGATCTGAGTTTGTTTTACAGAATGAAATGTCTGAAGCTTCAAGGCAGATCATTTGCCTCCGTGATTTTTAGTAATCAAATCATTCGAGGAATCGTTTCATCCCTACTGTTCACACTGTAGTCTGATATGGATGTCATTTAAATTATATTGTGAGTGATTACACAAAAAATGAGCTTGTTCATGTGTGTGCGTGTGCATTTGTCTATTTATTGTCAAAGCATGTCATGAATCACTGGACAATGAAAGTTTCAGAAAGTGAAAGTAACAAACGTTTGGAGTCGACTCAGTTCAAGATGGCTGCCACAGCCAACTGACCCTATAAAACAGCAAGATGTCTACAACTCAGATTATTTAGGATGTCAAGCTAAAATTTGGTCTGGTAGTAGCTGAGAGTCATCCCCGAAACATAAGTTTCTCTAAAACTGCTACATAATGTGGTTTATCTCACTGGTGCAGCTGCTAAGCTTCAACAGWGACTTTTTTCAGCTGTTTATTCAAAACATTTTATTTACCTCAGTATTAATTGCGCTGAGATGTGCAGGGAGTAAAAAAATGCTGCAGCATGAGAGGATAATTATGTCTTGTTTTGTTCTCACAGGGCACCAATGCCTCCGCTCTGGAGAAAGACATCGGCCCGGAGCAGTTCCCCATCAATGAACACTACTTTGGATTGGTCAATGTGAGTAGCACTAAATCCTCCATCAACAAAACACACTGCAGAACAGAACAGAGCTGTTTGTGACTTCTTTAATGTGCTGTAAACATTCAGCTTTCTCAGCGCACTCTCAGCTGCTACACTGATCAGAACAACACACACTGGCCTCTTCAACCACAATGAACAACAACAATATAACAACTAAACAGAACAAAAAACTTTAAGTTCCTCATTGAAACAGTTTGTTTGTCGCCTTCTTTCTCAGTTTGGAAACACCTGTTACTGTAACTCAGTGCTGCAGGCTCTCTACTTCTGCCGGCCTTTCCGGGAGAACGTGCTGGCCTACAAGGCRCAGCAGAAGAAGAAGGAAAACCTGCTGACATGCCTGGCTGACCTCTTCCACTCCATTGCAACACAGAAGAAAAAAGTGGGCGTCATCCCACCCAAGAAGTTCATCTCCCGCCTGCGAAAGGAGAACGGTGAGAAGAAAGCCTCTGATGTAAAATCATGTGACAACACTAGGGATGTGCATCTCTGCTCTGTAAGGGCTAGTCATCGACTATTCAAACGATTAGTTGACTAATCGTATTATGAATGACATAATTATGAAATGGCACTTATTTACTGTATTTATTCGAGTATAATACGTAAAATTTAATCCATAAAATCATGCACAAAGTTGGGGGTAGTACTATACTCAGATAAATATTTTTGCTGATGTATTTTAACTGAAATATCGGCCTCATTCACAAAATCCCTGAGTCCGGAAATGAAACCACGTCRTAAAAAGCGGTTGAAGCAAGCTTACCTTTAACACTCCTTTGTGCCTCCGAGCGAGAGGTAACAGATTCAAGCAGGCAACATGATGTGAAAAAAAAAAAAGAAAAAAAGGCAGTCCTGCATAACGAACTAATGATATTAATGTGCGACCGGGCCACTCCTGGGACAACAACAAACACATGGTCGGCTGTAATGGCTGCCGTCTACCGGTGTTCTGTAAAAGTTGGTCTACCTGAAAAAAGTTTCCCCACCAGAGGGGGAGCTGGTGAGACACAGAGGATGAGATTGTTGTTGAGTGGGATTCTGATGCCTTTTATTACAGAGGAGGAATACCAGAAACTTTTAATGATACAGATGATGGTGAGCCTGATTTTGAAGGCTTTGATTCAGCTTCATCCACACTTGTTAGAGCCACTTAGCTCTATCTGTTTGTTATATCACGCCAATTAACAAATGAGCATTGATAGCTTTTTTTGTAGTTATACATTTGTTGTTGTGTACCTTTTAGTACATACAGTCTGTTGTTAAAATAAAATTAAAAACTGATACAACAGTCAAATGATAATTTTACACACACACACACATACAGAAAGCACACGTGAGTGCGGTAAGAGAATGTCTCTGTTGGTGACTTCTGATCTGCCAGGGGAAACATCAACACATTATGTGCTGTTCATCCACTTCGTGGTTCTGCGTTCTTAAAGAGTCTTCAAACAGAAAAGAGACAAGAGAGAGCAGCTAACATTACAGCTAGGAAGGCAGGAGGAGGAAAATGAAATCAGCATATTTATTATACKTTGTAGCACAACATAAAACCTGTATTTAGACTCATAAGTAATAATCCCCCTCAAAATGTATAAACCCCCCCACTCTGAAACATTTAAGGAGGGATTCCCCCTCCCCCAATTTCAAAAGTGAATTTCAGGCACTGTAGGTATATTAATTACACACACATTTATATATACAGTATATATATATCAGTGCTGGGCACGGTAATGGATTATTTTAATGCAGCCGAAGCTTAACTGTGATAATTTTTTAAACCCACATTATTACAGTTATTTTTTTCTTTATATTTATGTCTGTTTTCTGGTTATGTGACGACTGGGTTTGTGTGTGTTACACAAAGCCAGTCGTCACAGTGTGGGAGGGGTATCTTATCACATTGGCTTTAGACAGACACCATCAAGTGTGTCAACCAAGCCTTTGTTGTCGAGTCATTGCATGGCAACAAGCAGCCACTCCCAAAAACCCGAGCAGCCAGGACAGAGACATGGTGGAAGTAATCAGATTCTTCATGACATTCTCATTTTAAAATTCTTTCTGATGGTGGGATGAATTTTGGGGAAATTTTTACTTTACGCATAACAGATATGGCCGATTCCCTTGAGATAAACAACACAGACGATTAATGCATACAGCATGTGGTCCCTAGGTAAAACTAATCCTGCCAGGAAAGTGCTTCAATGACAATTCTATGAATTTTAATAAAATGACTCTTAAAAAATACATCTAAAAATGTGAATGAGTACCAGATTAGAGTAGAAAAAATTTTTCTTAAAGTAATCAAATGGATACTCTTGAGTTTTAGTTAATGGGAATTGTTTTCAGAGAGTAATGCTGCATTCCAGTTAGGGATGCATTGATTCAAGTTTTCTTGCCGAACTTCGATCTTTAAAAAGTCTGAGCTGCCTATTGCGATTTTGGCCGATACAGATTTTTTACATAGCTGACACTGTCAAATGCTATAAAGTCCCAAAACAACTTCAATGTTCAAATGTTATTTTACTGAAATACTTTGAAAAATACCCTTGAAACAGTACAAACTTACTTTAACTGGTAGTGCTCACAGCAGAGGAAAATAGGATAGTGGCTGATTTTTAGACATTGATCTATATTACGGGATTGGACATCACGTAACTTATCGTGCGCTACACAGGTGCCATTCTATGCATTGAGTTTTGACTCGGGAACATCCATGAATGGTGGTAAAAAGGGGATGCAGCAGACAGTCATGCAAGGAATATCAAAAATGGATGCAATATTTTGGCAAAAATTGTCAACACTACAACAACAAGATCACAATATAAAGGCTATCACATTTTACAGGTCATTAAAATATTTTTTTTATTTTAAAAAATATTGGAGATGCGGAAAGTAGGTCAGTTATGCAGCTTGATTTTGAACCTTATGTCAGGTAAACCAACGAAGAGACAAATTTGCTGTTCCAACAAATTATTATTTTTTAATTAATATTGTTATTATGTTAGGATAACATTGTGAGAGGTAAATATAATGGACAACAGTAAAATTACCTTTACTACTACAAGGCTGAACTTTGTAACTATTACTGGTACTGATGTTCTGTCCAGTCAGCATATGGTATATCCTGTGATTATATATCAAGAGTAAAAACTCAGTAACTTTATTTTCCTCCACCGTACATTTCATAAGCTAAGCGGGTATGGTCCTGTTGCGCCAACTTCTCAACTCGAAACTACGATATCAGGGGTTGTTCTAGATGAAAATTACTACTCAGGAGCGCAAAACTATGATTTCTGAGGATAACTGGAACGCAGCATAAATAAGCAGCAGTGTTGTTGTAAAACAGTTTCTGCATTGCTGCAGTTCTCCTTTTAAACAGTAGGTGTCACTACAGAGAAAATGATACAACACACAGCAGAAGATGTGATTAAAAACCTCCATTCTAGAGGTGGGCGATACTGGGAATTTTGGTATTGATACGATACCAAGTAAATACAGGGCCGGTATCGTCGATAGCAGTACCGATGCCGATATTCTTTAAGCTTCATAATTTAAAAATATCCAAAAGATCTAGGATAGAATTTCACCAAACATTGTACGTGACAACAAAATACTTTATTATAACAATCAATATTTTTGCTTGCCAACAATAAAGCAGTAACAAACCAGTTTCCTTTAACATTAGGAAAATAAATATTTTATACAAAAATAAAATAAAAATTCTTCCCTCACCACTAAACATCTTTCCTAGTTATTTCTTTGTTTCTTTTATTAAATAAAACTGTTCTTAGGAAAAACAAAAAATAAAGAATTTTTTTCCTTTCAATACAATTCTGTTTTCTGTAAATAAAGAGACTAAAAAATATCACTCAACACAACTTAAAACAAATTCTCCTGAGGTTTTGGGCTCGGTGAGAACGCTGAGTGGGTGGGCCAGCCTACCTATTAGTTAGCTGTTTGGCTAGCGCTGCTGAGCCATGTGACGGTGCAATAACAAAAGACGGGGGTGGGGTGGAGCTGCTGCTGCTCCGTGCTGTGTGACACAGTGCAGCACTACAGACAGAGAGTAGACTTTGAAAAATGCGTGTGTGCTGCAGTCAGTGTGTGCGGGAAAGAACAAAGTTTGAGTATCAATCTTTTTACACGAGTATTGTTCAATATCAATACCAGCGCTGGTATCGATATTTAGAATCGATCCACCCACCTCTACTCCATTCTTTACTACACATTTTCAGCTTATCTGCTTTCTCTATATGTCGATGCCTGTCGAATTAACCTGCTTACAGTTTTTTCAACTAATGATTAAATTGACAAAAAGAAAAAAAWWGTATAGGTCTTCTGGACGGRTTCTTCTCTAATGAAACGTTTCGTCTCTCCTCCAAGAGACTTCTTCAGTCTGAGAGTTTCAGGCWAAATTCAGGCTTTTAAGYCCTGCCTCCATGTGACTGATACTCGCATCACACGGCTATTGTTGACACCTAATTAACACCTATTGTTAACAGGGGGTGGAGTGATACTGGCAATAGCAGCACTGTAGGAGGGGGACAACTGAAAACGGAGGCCTCCATCTCTGTTTAATGATGGACGGTCTTTCTTCACAAAAATGGCTTCTTTTACTCCTCTCTCAAACCAACGTTCCTCTCTATCAAGAATGAGAACATCCTCATCTCTGAAAGAGTGACCGCTGGCCTGTAAATGAGTGAAAACTGCAGAGTTCTGGCCATTAGATGTAGCTCGTCTGTGTTGGGACATTCTTTTGAACAGTGGCTGCTTTGTTTCCCCGATGTATAACTGGTCGCAGTCCTCCTGGCACTTAACAGCATATACAACATTGCTCTGTTTGTGCCGGGGCACCGGATCTTTGGGGTGAACCAGBCTTTGCCGTAATGTGTTTTGGGGTTTGAAAGCYACTGGGACATCATGTTTAGAAAATAAACGTCTCAGTTTCTCCGAAACTTATTATGATTAAATTGACCAAGTTACACGTTTCAACACCAGAAGTGCGTCTATTCATCACTACTCTGGTGTTCTGATTAGATTGTGTGCACACACACACACATCTGTGAATCAGCATGAATCAGTTATTTTTCAACAGGCATGTTCCTGTTGATTTAGCTTTGATAAACATCCTCGTGGTCATGGTTTAAAATGTGACCACCAGTTCCATCGTGTAGGTTGTTGCATGCTGTGATCCTGTTTCTGTCGCACTCAGATTCTTCTGACTGCACACACATTCCTGTAATTTCTTAAACAGCTGGGATTAGGTGTGTGTGTTTGTCAGTTGAAGTTTTGTTTCAGTGCAGGTTGAATGTTGAAGGTGAAGGGCAGGTGCGTGTTGGCTGTAAGGTCGTTCAGAGCTGAGCTGACAGGCTCACTGTTCTCTGTCCATATTGAAGCAGCTCATATATGAATGAACAATGTGATCCCTGTTAGGAGCCAGCACTGCTCAGCTGCCTCATCTCTTGAGGATTTTCTTTCTCTGATACCCCTTTAATTCACCACTTTTCATTTTTACTTCTTTCTTACATTTACTAATGTGGACCATCAGATTTCTGAAGCACTGTTTGCTTACACAATCCCAGAAGAAGTTTATTACAAATGTGAAACCTTTGTTGTCAAGCTGTTTTTAATGTTAATTATCACACCTGAACCTGGAAATAAGACATACTGAAAATTGACCGTATTATAGTAGCAAAGTACTAGCAGAGCCTAACTCTTCTGGGTCACATGTCGACCAAGATAACACTGTGAAAACACCATTGGATTTGTGCAAATACAACAATCTCAAAAAGCAGATTTATAGATTAGATATTTGTGACCCATCACATTGAAACCAGGATTAAATCTGAAAGTGGTATTTAAGTGGTATGTTGAGAAATGGGCTGATATAGATCATTGCATTCTGTCAAAATATAATGAAAAAAATGCATCAAAGAATCATTTGAATGAACTGTCTGAAATATAATCTTAAAGAGCTTTTTTGAATCATTTTTTAACAGTAGCAACCAAAAATGATTTTGAGCAAAAATGTCTTGAATTTTTTAAATTTCCCCTGTAAGCTAGCAAAGCTGATTTTTCCTGCTGAAAAATCTTAATATCCAAATATTATCTTAGGTTTCTCTTTAAAATGGCATCAAAAATTCCTCATTAGAATAACCTAAAAATAGCATTCAGACCAAATATTAATGTCATCCTGTTAAACAAGACAAATTACGTCGTATCTCTGAAACTGTCCTGATATCAGGATGATCCAGGTATCAAAATAGATCTTAAAAAGCCAAGAATCTGAAAACATGCTGAGCTCATTTTGGCCAAATTTGACTTAATTGTCGATTTGATGTGATGGTTCACATTTATAAAAAAAAATCTCATCTATGATTCTAAAGGAAAGTTTAACATGAATTAGCTTGCAGCAAGTACATCATGCTGGTGTAAATTTACTGGTTGAACTTGTTCAACTCTAATGGCATTCCTGCAGAACAGCTGAGCTCGGCACGCTTTGTGCCTGCTCATTTCTAACAATGTTTTACTACAAAATGGTTCATTAGCTCGTATTTAAAATACAGTCGATGCACTGCATGGCCCATCCAAGCCGGGGTTCAAACCTAGGTTTGACGTTTTTGCATTAGCCCAGGTCCACCCCCATTCCTGAAACTTGACAGCTGCAGTTCCAGTCGGACTGGGCTGCCTGGCTCAGTTTGACATCTACTGCTCATTGATTAGTTCCCCTACGTCACGTAGATGAGTAACTTTACGTAAATTGTTTTTCAGTGACTATAACGTTTTGTTCACATGTTTAAATACACAACAGTAGTGAGCTACAAAAAACAAGTGGTCCTGCCCTCTCATCTGAAGCATCGTACTGCTGGATGGTCCTGTTCGGGCCGAGGCAGGCTTTACTATGCAAAAATGCCTCTAGAGATTGACGAGGTACAATAAAGGTGCTACGATAAGTGAGAGCCATGAAGACTGGTCCGTGTGGATCAACAACCATTCACACCATTCAAGTCAGATCAAGCCTACAGTAAATGAAGGGTTTTGTCCCTCATTGAGTAGGAGGCTGGAAACAAAGGCTATGTTCAAACTGCAGACAAATGCAACCCAAATCAGATTATTGTTTTTGCTCTGATGTGACCCATTTTGGATTTCTTTTCATGGCCGTCTCAACATGACAAAAATATATATTTTTTTTCAAATCCGACCCGCCTTTTAACATATGGTACTAAATTGGACACATATCCAACGTTGTTCAAACTTCACATTGTGAGGTAGTGGTCAGCATATTGAACCAAGTATTTAGAATATGGGTAATGCAGTTTAAATYGTGGAACTCTGCACATMTTCAGCTACAGAGCAGAAATCCACTTCATCATATGCTCTTAATTTGCCATGTCCTGGTTGAATCCTCAGCAACATACACTGCCTGAAACAAAAACAAAACACTATTTTATTCAACCACCTTTAGTTTTGATTACAACATGTATTTTCTGTGACATTCTCTTCAATGTCAGAACATTTACTGTATTCCTGTCCATAATTTCATTAGCCTGACCCTTGCCTTCCTACGCAGTTCCGCTCAATTCTAGTTTCCCTTCACTGCTCCATCTGGGATTTCTCCCATAGACAAGGATTTCTTCAGGAGAATTTCATTCAGGCCAATCAGAGAACAGAAGGCAGGGTTTTGAATGACAACATCGATTTTCTGCGCAGTGTCTGCTAGTTAGTTTAGCAATGGGAGTGGAGGAAGTGAATTAAGCCAGTCCGTGTTGATAAGGCTTCCAAATTTAATTAAATTTGTCTGACAAAGCAGCAGCTCTCATTTACAGTCGTCTTGTTCGGCTCGGTACTTCTCTCCTCTCAGTAGGGTTGTTTACAGCACACACAATTTGTGGTTAGCTTCTTAGCTTAGCCTCCTTCACAGTGGGGCTGGCACACATACGTCGCAGCCAACCGATCCAATCATTTTTAAACTTCAACAGAGGCCACGCCTCCAGCAAGAATCACTTCTCTATAGCTGAGAGTCCAGACCCTCGCACAAAGCAAAGTGAAGAACAAGGGTCTGGTTTCTACCAGGCTAGAATTGCATTAATTTTTCACCTTTTTTTATTGATGACTGGAGATTCAGATCATTTTGCAAAATCTTCTCCAGCACAAAAGAGAGAGATTCTCAATCAGGTTAACGTCTGGACTCTGTGGGGCCAATCCATGTGTGAAAACGATGTCACAGTTTTAGCTTGATGAATTCTGGCATTGTTGTCTTGAAACTTACTCTTGCCATCAATCTGCTTACCCCTACCTCACTGACATAAAAATCTGATGAAAACAGACTGAGGTCGATTGGAAAAACATCTGATACATATTCAATTTAGTACCACATAATGAAAAGACCTGGGTCAAATTTGAAAAAATTATATTTGTCACACTCAGGCTGTGATAAAAAAAATCTGACACGGGTTTCATAAAGGCAAAAACATCTCATTTTAGCTGCATTTGCTTTCAGTAGTAAAATAGCCTTGGATCAAGACATACAAAGAGAAATCAGATGTTTCTCGGAACAGCAGAAAGATCCACTAAAAACACTGCAACCAGTGTAACACAGGGTGGGGCAATATGGAATTTATTTATTTATTTTTAATKTTTTCAGGCCACTTTTAACCTGAAACATGTCAGATTATGTAATGGATCGATACAATTTTAACTGTTAAAGTAAATGATTGAACAATCATTTAATGATTTTAAAACCTTTAAAGAAGAATGTAACAAAGTACTGTACAGACAGAGCCCTGCTGAAAGTCAAGAGTTCAAAATGTAAACAATCTCAATTCAATATCAAAGTCAAACTGAATGTATGAGAATTCATCTTTGATTTATCTTCTTTTGATTCATCTTTGTATTTTCTTCCAGATCTTTTTGACAACTACATGCAACAGGATGCCCATGAGTTCCTCAACTACCTGCTGAACACAGTGGCCGATATCCTACAAGAGGAGAAGAAGCAGGAAAAGCAGAACGGGCGCCTGAAAAACAACGGCACCACAGTCAACACTGATACTGAAATAGAAAACAAGACAGAGCCTACATGGGTTCATGATATCTTCCAAGGCACACTGACCAATGAGACGCGCTGCCTCAACTGTGAAACGGTGTGTGTTGTTGGATTACTTTAGGTTTTTTTTTTTTTTTTTTTTTTTTTTTTTTTTTTTTTTTTTTTTTTTGTGGTGTGCGGGTATTTTGTGTGTGAATTTTAGTGGCCTAGACCAGTGTTAGTCAGAGATTTTACCAATTTCTGAAATAAAAAATATCTCTTCTGAATTTCATCCATACAATCTGGTCATTTTGGAACAGCTCCTGAGAGGGGCCTCCAGGGATCCTTCTTAYCAAACGCGTGAACCATCTCAGCTGGCTCTAGTGTGGAGGAGCAGAAGCTCTCCTCTTGCAGCTTAGTGCTCTCTTCAGCACCAAGGACAGGCACACTTTGGAAGACATGTCGGTTCATCAAACTCCCATCCATCCATTTTTTTCCCTGCTTCTGAGAAACTAAGCATAGATTTTTATAGAGTTGTGATGTGTCTGAGGAGATGTTAAAATGGAAAAAAACAGCATTGCATTCATATTATTGTTACACCCATTTTATTTAGAACTAGTTTAAGTACTAGGGTGACTGTGGGCTTACTACAACTAATACCTGTTAGAAACAGACCAATGAAATAACTAATGGTAAATAGCTTGAATAGCATGTTATCAAGTCCCTCCAGACTCCAGAGTCCTTTATACTTCAATCATTCACCCATTCACACACTGATGGTGGTAAGCTACATTATACCTACAGCTGCTCTGGGGCACACTGACAGAGTGGGCTGACATGCACCAGCGCTATCAGCAGTCAAGGTGGGTGAAGTGTCTTGCCCAAGGACACAATGACTGAGACATGGAACAGGGAATCAAATGGGCAACGCTCTGGTTACAGGGCGACTCCCCTAACCACCCTGCCACAGCTGCCCCATTATTGAAATTACATGGCTGCCATGTTGTTCAAGCCAAGAGCCATTGTTAGCACTGGAGCTAAGCGCCCCTAAAGGTCAGATCCAAGAATTGACACTAGCCATGATTCCATCAAGTTTTTTTTTATGCGCTTTAGAAAAGGTGGATGGAAATGGCAGAATTCTCAAAAACTTGCTCAATTTTGCAAAAAGGTTTTTTGAGTTGGTTTTTTTTGATTTACCAAAAAAGAGTTGTTGTGCAAAAGGGGAGATGGAAACACATTTGCTGAATAAGTTCTGACTTGGTGAACATTTACCTCGATCAGCTGTTCCTGCTGTCCAATAACAGCGGCTGCAGCTGGACCCTCCCCCCGCTGTCGGTGTCTTCTTTTATTCCCGTAACGTGAAGAGAATTAATTTCTTTCTCTACGTCACCAGACAGCAGTAACATCACCAAAACTAGTTGATAACAGAATAATCACAACTTTACCAAGAGTGGACATCCTAGGAGGTATACATACATATACATATACATATACATACATACATACATACATACATACATACATACATACATACAGTACATTACCTCCTCCCTTGGCGGAGGTAAAAATGTGGAAGTTTATGGAGCTAAATCGGGGTCATAAGTTTTGCTCAAAATAAAAAGTTTTTGAAACTGGAACAAAGATTTGAATCTGAAAAGTAATTTTGAAACTGAAAAAAAATTAAATTGAAAAGACAATATGTTTTATGTATTTATTTTTTTCAGTTTCAAAATTATTTTTCGGTTTCAAAATTATTTTTCAGGTTCAAATCTCAAAATGACTTCAGTTTTCAYGGCTGCGTTGCAGGTAAGCAGCAAAGATGAGGATTTTCTGGATCTTTCTGTGGATGTGGAGCAGAACACATCGATAACACACTGTCTCAGGTAGTTCTATATACATTAAGGAACACATTCCCTTTAGCCTGAGAAACACTGACTAATCTAACCACCTGTGGTATTCTCTCTCCTCCAGGGACTTCAGTAATACAGAGACATTGTGCAGCGAATACAAATACTACTGTGAAACATGCTGCAGCAAGCAAGAAGCACAGAAACGGTGAGTAAAACACAAACTTTAACCACATCCTGGTCTGTGTGATTGTCTAAAGAAATTTTAAAATATATATGTTACTCTGCAGGATGCGTGTGAAAAAGCTTCCCATGATCCTGGCACTACATCTCAAGAGGTTTAAGTACATGGAGCAGCTGCACCGCTACACCAAACTATCCTATCGGGTGGTTTTTCCTCTAGAGCTTCGTCTTTTTAACACATCTGGAGATGCAGTCAACTTGGATCGCATGTATGATCTAGTGGCAGTGGTGGTTCACTGTGGAAGGTACATTTTATTGACAATAAACCCTACTATAAATGCCAAAAATCTAATTGCGTGTTCCTTAAATTTTCATTTAGCAACGTTTCTTGAATGGAATTGTTCCTCCAATGCCAGAGTTGGTGGTTTGATTCCACCACTATATGGTCACATGTCAAAGTGTCCCTGGGCAAGACACCTAACCCCCCCTGCCTCTGATGTGTGTCCATCAGTGTATGAATGTGATTTAAAGCTCTGATTAGTCCCTATAGATTGATTTACCTGTATTATCTTTGTAGAGATCTAGTAGAGTGCTGAATGAATGCAAGTGGATGTTTAAATGAGAGCACAGATCGTAAAGAGCTTTGAGTATCCTGGCTGGATAGAAAGGTGCTATATAAGTACAGTCAAGTTTTAAAAAAAAGAAATATATAATTTAAACTTTCAGGGAAACCCTCCTTTGTCCTAATACTGCTATTTTTTGTCTTTTTAACCTTTAAACCAGCAGCTGTTTAGTGTAGTTTAGCAGTCTTGAAACAATGGCTCAGACTGTATCCTTTGTGGGGAGAGTACTAAACCAACCATGAGTTGAAATGTAACGGCTCTTTTCTACTAGCTCCTCTACAGCAAGGTTCCACTTGACTGAACTCTGTTCAGCACGATTCCGGTGGTTTAATATTACACGTCAGTAACATCTCTAGTGGGTGGGTTCATCATAAGGTGGTCTGAAAATTGACGCCACACACCTTATCAGCTGGTAGTGGTTATGCTTCAACATAGTAGAAGAAGAACATGCCGAAAAGGTATGCAACACAACAGTGGAGGTCATGGTAGCGCTGTTATTGCAAATGGTAGATCAGATTGTTGTGAGAGCAGCTCTTGTGATGCAACCAGTGACTCCACCCACTAACCAGTCAGTGACAGACAGTCCACTTCAGACCAGCACAGTACACTTGGAACCACAGCGAAGTCTGTTCTGAAAAAAAGTCTGGTTCCACCAATCCTTGCTAGTGGAAAAGCCTTGGAACCATGGAGCCAAGTTGAACCGTGCTGTAGAGACACTGGTGGAAAAGGGCCATAAATGTAATTCTGTTTAATCCATTAAAACTAGAAAAACATGACAGGTTGTTATAAACTGTAGAAAACCAAAGTGTTGGCAGTAGCTACGTTTACATGAACACAAGTAATCAGATTAAACGGCCATTCAGAATAAAAATGCGTCATGTAAACACCCCATTCGGATTATTCTGACCTGATTCAGCTTGATCTGAATGAATTTGTAATCTGAATGAGAGAGGTGGTTTATGCTGATTGATAATCCAAACGCCGTGCATGTAAACACTTAATCTGATCATCTTATTCTGATTGTGGAAAACTGACCTGACTGCTCATGTCTGCTGACTTTCATCCAGCAGTTTCTGCTCTGTTGTGGAGGGAGGAGCAGCAGCGCTGTAGTTTGCAGCAGCACAGAACTTATCCTCCCGTTTTCTCATTCAGTAAAGAAGGAAAACAAACTGCCTGCATTGCTTCACCCAAAAAATAAAATCACCTGCAGCTCAACCAGGGAGTGCAGTCTCCAGCGTTATTAAAACCTGTCGCAGGTCCATTCTGAGCGCTCAGAAAGACCTTTGTTTACGTTCATCACAGAAGTAGAACTTCTTCTGTGGTTTTTTTTAGAAGAAGTCAGTGCTTGTATTCTGAATAAAAGCTTGGTGCATGTAAACACTTGTCATGATCAGGTTGTGCCCATGTAAATGATACATTCAGATTATTTAATTTGAATACATTTTAGTCCGATCAAATGCATGTAAACATAGCTATTGTCAGTATTGGCAAAATATGACATTCTGTGTTTATTATTCTACAAAACACACAGATTCATACTAAGGGTGTCCCGATCCGATATTAATATCGGATATCGGTCCGATATCAGCCAAAAAATGAGTATCTGATTTTATCGGCCTGCATAAAAAATGTCAGATAAAAGCGCTCCAAAATAAGCAGTCCAATCCAGCAGTTCACTGACTCTGCTCCAGCTTCTCTATCCAGCGGCGCTTGGACCCACCATGCAGAGCCCACGTGATCACAACAACATACTGCGCTAACAAAGTAGCAAGCAGTAGGAGCGATGTCGGCAGTACTTTCTATTTTCATCATAAATAGAGTTGAAGCTAAGTGCAAAATTGTCATGGACAAGTTTTCCATGGGGGCACAGAACCGTGTACGTTTTAAACCAGAAAGACAGCCAGGCTCTACTCTCCACCCTTGCAGCAGCTTTGTGGTTCGGCTCGGTTCAGCCTCGGTCCAAAAGTGTCTCCATGATTCCAGTTTCAGAACCTTCTCTCCGGTCGGTGGTTCTATAAGCGAGGACAGCACGTTTACAAATTTGACACCAGCAGAATGCTGCCGAGGATTAACTCTGGGATTGATTGACAGAAGAAAGGAGAGCGCAGCTTTTGTTCTGGAATACGAGCATGCAGTGCCGAAAACAAGACTTTTCTAAGATTTCACACTACAAAATAAGTAAAAGTGTGTGATTCGTACTGATATGGTATTAGGTCAATATCGGTATTGGACAATTCTCAAAATTTATCGGGACACCCTTAGATACCGTTCCAAATTACCGCTACCTTACATTAGCAACTTTTTAATCTATTAGGACTGTTTTAAAAAAAGGGAGTAAGGAAAAAATAGTTTGACACAAAAATGTTTTTGTCTCTTTTTGAGATTGATGTGTTTTTTTTTATTGTATTAACTAATCAAGCTTTAGGTGAATGAACAGTTTTCTGTTTAGCACTAAAGCATCTTGTATCAATCTCCTGTTTGCCTTTAGTTGCAAGACTGGTAGTTTTAGAACCCTGTATGTGTGATGTAAGGTCATTTTAGTGCAGATTATAATGTTCTCTGATTAAAGGTACAACAGATAGATGGTAAATTGTTTTTCACAGTTAAAGTTATCTGTTCAATCATCTTTTGTCTCCTGTTTGTTTCTCAGTGGTCCAAACAGAGGTCATTACATCACCATAGTAAAGAGTCATGGCTTCTGGCTGCTGTTTGATGATGACATTGTGGAGGTGCGTCATTTGGATCGCAGTGGTCTGATTACAGCTTTTACTGTTTGTACTCGCCTTGCTGTGTTGATATTCTCACTAAAACTTGTCTTTAAATCTCATTGTGCAGAAAATCGATGCCCAGGCCATTGAGGAGTTTTATGGTCTTACCTCAGATATTTCCAAGAACTCTGAGTCGGGATACATTCTCTTCTACCAGTCCAGAGAGTGACTCTGGTTAAGATCAGTGACAAAATCCAGGAGTAAGAGGGTGAAAACATTCATCTTCATCATGACTGTCTTCTCCCACCACATCCTCACCCTCCAACCTCTGATAAGCGTGCCAATCCTCTGTCCTGATCTCATCCTCTGGGTTTTGACAGTGCGTCATTGTTTCCTCTCTCTGTGATGTGACTCTTATCTTTAAGTCACCTGCATCTGGACCGCACTTTAAAACAAGAAGCAAAAAGGCTCAACAGCATGATGTAAACAAATAAGAGTGACTAAGCTTTGTGCTGCTGCTGGGAGGCACTAAATGTGTTCTCCACCAGGAACTTGATAATCAGAGGATTCTGTACATTTACTGGTATATGTTTGTAAGGTCTACTTCCCTAATGGGCCACCCAGTCATGATTCTTTCATTAGGGYTAATCTCCCCCCAGCACTGTCCGCTCCTGTGCTGTGTTTACGTCCTTAAAGGATGTGGGTGACATGAATGAAGTTGGAGACAAACACTGTATAAAACAGAGAAATGTCATGCACTTCAAAAGGGCAAGATCCTGACATTAATTACAGATTAATGTTCAAAGTTACAACTACCTAATCTCAATCTGACTGAAACACTAAACACTGCACTCATATTCAGTCAGATCATTCCTTAAATTTCTATTCAGATGAAATAAAAACTATTTATTKAACTGATATTAGTTAGTAGTTATTTTTAAAACAGACTGATTAAATGAAAATGAAGGCATATGAAACGTCTGATGGGTAGTAATGAGATAATAAAAAGTTAAAGTGCACATGTTGAAGAGAAGTGAAAAAGATGATTGCATCATCGATGAAACACTTCTTCACCCAGCACTGTCAGAGTCAWATCTGTCTGCAGCTGCACACAATGAATCACAACTCACTGCTTTGTTTTTGATGTTCCTATGTAACACTGAATACTGAAGATTACAAATCCTTTTTAAAACAATATCCTTTGTACTGTAGGTTTCCCCACAGGGAGCTTCTGTCTCATTTAGAGTAGTGAAGGCTTTTAATGTGAGTGACTTTATGAAGCAACACATCTCATCCTGAGTAGGATTTATTTGTTGTGTGTGTGTGTGTGTGTGTGTGTGTGTGTGTGTGTGTGTGTGTGTGTGTGTGTGTGTGTGTGTG